TGATAATTTGTATAATTATCCCAAAAGTAGGACAAATAGAATAACATGAATGATCAAAAAATTATTTGGACAAGTGAATTAAGGTTAAAAGACCTTAAGAGTTATTTCAAAAGTGTGAAAGAGAGAGAACTGCGAAAGCGAATACATAGAATATAATTCAAAAGAATGGTGGTAAAATGAAAAATAAAAGTAACTCAAAAAGAGAAGGAATAAGTTAACCAAATAAAATGAGGCAGAATAATATAATTAGTAGAATAACAGAAGCTAAAAAAAATAAAACGGAAAGGAAAAAAGAAATGGATCAGTACCTTTAGCATCTCCACTTGAGCCTTCAGTTCTCGTATCTGATCACGCAATTCAAAAATTTGCCCGTTAACTTGTGTCTGCCAGAGCTCCTGATTCGAAGAAAATGAGTTTGAGGCCTCAGTGCTGGTCGAGTGCTGCTCAGCCTGAACCTGATTCAGCTGTTGGTGCCCTGAATGACTTTGATGTTGGCTGCCAGGATGCTGATTGTTCAGATAGCCCTGATGAGTATGCATGGCAGCAGGAGCAGTAACATAAAGCGGTGGATAAGTGAGAGCAAACGGTACTTCGTTGGATGAAGTAGTTGCCGCTGTCGACGTAGACGGAGGGACACGAGAAGGGCTCAATGGAACATTACCAACGGAAACCTGTGCTTGGCTAGTCACATGATGTTCGAAGCTGCGTCCTGGAGAAATGGTGCGCGTTACGGTGGCTGATGAAGTGGTTGAGTCGGCATCACAGGCCTTCTGAATACTTCCTGAAATGAGATTTTCATGCAGGCAGCATGAACAGATTTTTAGACAATTTGTAAAAGTTTGCATGCAAGTATTCGCACATGTAAGAGAATATTCACATTTTCCTTCAAACAAAAAGTAAAATTATCAAAAAACTAGGTTCGTCGCCCCCATCATAAAAATAAAAGTTTAATAAAGTGGAGGAGTGAGAAATAGATACAAAGACAAAGATGTTGTGGTCTCAGATTTGATCATAGTCTCCTTTCTATGTATATAGGTGGTCTAACCTCATTTACGCAACTTGGTCGTGTTGTCAAGGCGACCTAGTTGGACACACCATATCTAAGGTCCTCTGCTATAGAAGATGTGATAATTCCAAGCATTGGACCGTGGACTTGGTTTATTACCGGACGTTTCGTCGGAATCGTACTCGGCATCTTAGTTCGTCTTGTCACTCTGAGCACCAAGTTACAACTCTTCAAATAGGCTACCTCGTAAAAGGTGCGTCCAGCTATGTCCTCATGACAGTTACGAAAATGAGGTCCGAGCAATTCTATGATAGATTGCA